ATTTTTACTGCACAGCTGATTTTATTGTTTCTTATGTATATGAATACTATGTACGGCGGTCTCTCTCTCTCTCTCTCTCTCTCTCTCAGCTAATATTAACAAACTATAAATGTTGTACGTAAAATATTTAATTTTTTCTTAAATAACAATTTAAATGGTTGATTAATTATTATATTTAAATACAAATATAAACTTAATATTTTCACACATTTAAGAAATGAAGTTTATTTTTGTTTTGATCGTGCAGAGAAGTTTTGTGGAAATCAATTTATTTATTTTATGTCAGCAATAACAGATGACAGATCAGTATGTGTGTAAATGTAGTTACGAACTTGAGGACGCGAATTTTACGCAATATTATTAGCAAATTTTGATCACTTAAAACTCAAAAACTATTGTAGCCTCGATATTTTTGTATTAAGATTTTTTACTCCATTTTGCCTCTAGAATACGCTATTAAAATATTGTACGAAGGTTGTGAGACACCCTATATATATGTCTATGTATGCTTTTTCTTCAAAGAATTAGCATATTATTTATAACTAACCTTACGAACACTAGGAAGAACATATGGTTTGCCATTGTCATCCCTATAAGCGCCAACACCTAAGTTGATTTTTTTGGGATTTTGATCCCTCTTGAATGCTTCAGTGACTCCCAAAATGGCATCTGGTGGTCCCATCTCTACATGGGACCACCATGAGCTGTAATATATATAAAATTATTTCTTATAATCTATCCCCTCTTTCTCTCTATCTCTATCTCTTTCTCTCTCTCTCTCTTTCTATCTATCTTTCTATCATCTATCTATCTATCTATCTATTTATCTATCTATCTCTCAATAGATAGTATTATCTTTAATTTTATACCAAAAAGATAAGATGTTTATAAGAACAAGTTACTAAAAATTAAGCAACAGATACAGCTATCAAATTATATAATCAATTTGAAAATTACAATACAATAAAAAAATAATAAAATTATAAAAATTTAATCTTAAATTAAAATTTAAACTTTAAAAACATAATGTGTTGAAGAAAAAAGAAATATATTCGTAGAAAGTATTCGTATTTTGATTAGATTCTTTTTTTGCTCTTTTATGTATAAAATAATTCGCATATATGTTTAATTATTTGCAAGAAAAGATAAAAGTAAAAGAAATATAACAAATCTGGAAAAAATACAAACGCATATAATATAAGTTGACAAAACAAACATCTTAATAATTAAATCTCTTTCTCTTTCTCTGTTATATTGTCAATAATGCAATTAATTTAAATCATGAATAATAAAGATTCCAAAGTAACAAATTTAATCGTATTTTTATAGAAAACAGCACTTCAAAAAGTAATAACTTTGCGAAGGTCGAAAGGTCATTCGTTTTGGATACTGTATGTTAAAGGATTTCACCTAGAGAATCTCATCAGCAGAGAACCGTTCTTCAGAAACTTGCCGGTCGTCACGAGCAGTCTCGTGGTGTATGCCATTTAGAATATTTTTCACAATTCTGTCACAATTTTTAAATTTTGAACACGTCTTAACCTCAATGTCGGATGTCAACGGGACTGAAATATATCGGAACGTCTGTATCTGTGTCATAGACATAAGTATATCTAGACCATAGACATAGTATATCTAGACCGAGCGTTTGCCTTTATTTAAGGAGTGGGGGTAAAGGTGCACGTAGAAAAGGACAGACTCTGTTTCATGCCCCTTGCGTTCTCTCTCTTTCATACATGCGAAGAAATAGAGGAACAGGGAATTGGGAACGGTGGAACTGGGAAGTGGCAGAGTCTCAGAATTGGCATCTCTGGTGGCAGAGTCTCAGAATTGGCATCTCTGCTGGGAACTGCGAAGTGAAGACCATACGTACATGTGCGTAGTGCGTACATGATCCTGCAACTATTAGTTTTCCATTGGGAAAAACTCGCAGCACTGAGTGCTTGAAGCGTATATCATTGGTAATTTTAATGAGCATGTTCTGAATGCTGCATATTTCATTGGGAGTGCAAACTACTTTCAGTGCGCATTGAAAGCATTTTGCACTCCCACTGAATGTGCAGCATTTAGAACATCTCATTAATATTACCAATGATATACGCTTCAAGCATTTAGTGCTGCGAGTTTTTCCCAATGGAAGACGCTATAAGTTTCAAACCGAAAATTCCATCGAAGAGAAATAATACAAAATGTAAGTATTGTTTTCTAAATAGAGCTATCATATTCTTAATCAAAATGATAATTATTTTCATTTATCATTATAGCAAAAGTGCGACTAGAATTGCAATGGTTAGGTGCTACATATGCTGGAAAGAACATTCTGTTTTATTATCACGGCAATTTCACAGGTAATGTATAAATTTAGAGATATGGTTAGATTTTATAACTTTATATTTGTATTAGACATAAATATTCTTCAGTTTCAATCGAAAATAACGCAATATTCTATATGTTTAGTTTTCCATCAGATGCAGAAAGGCGAGAAAATGGTTTAATACCATTGGTTATACTGTTGACTACTTACAAAAATGCAAGAATTTGCAGTGAATTGCTAGAACCGTGGAATGCAGGATCGACTCAATCGAGATTTTTCATGAATATGTAAGTACATTTGTCGCAGTGAATTTAGTTTTGTTATAAGCTCACCCTATATTTCGATTTTTTATGATGCAGGGATGACGGTCCAAAAACGATAAAAATGCAAACTCTTTACGGACGTCGCAACGAAACGGCAAGTTTAAGACTAACATTAGATCCAGAGTGCAGTTATGCGATTAATATTCAACCCAGTGGAATCATCGATAAGATTTCTTGTAGAATATGGGATCGTTGGCCGTTGCTTTATCTAGCGATTATCAGTTTACTTTTACTGTTCGTTTCAATAAGGATACATAGTTCAGACATGATACCAACTGTAATTGTTACAATAGTATTGTCTTTTTTTCAACGTTACTTATGAAGCTTGCATTGCTTTATGTATCATCAGCATATCTGCCATTGCTGTATGCTGCTGTGTCATATTTCTTGGTTCCATTGCACATGGAATAACTGTCAAGTAAGAAATTTTCTATTTACATTGAAGTAAAAATATGTTCCTGTAAAATTATGTAATCAGAAAATTAGTTAATAATGATAAGATATATGGATAAAAGTTTTATATATATATTTTTTTTTCTGGCAAACTTTTAGCATGTGCAATAACTTTCTCAACAACGTGGTCAGATTGGTTACTGAATGGTCTAAACAGAACAAACTGAAGATATATATCTTTTAGCACATGCATTACAATTTAAATTTTATTGATTTTTAAAAAGTGTTAAGTTATTGTTTCTCATTCTTATTCTTTGGGTAGAATTCGCAAATGTTGTACTTTCATGTTTCAGACGCACGTTAAAATAAGTTTCCAAAATTAATTTTATAATTTGACTTCGGTGATCAAATAAAGGAGACTGATCATAAATGTGACCATTCATATTAAATATATATGAAGGAAGTGAGCGTAAAGATTGACATATTAAAACATTTAATATATTTTTAGTTTTAAATAATCTGTCTTAATTATATCTTACAGTTTTTTCTGCATTCTTACATGTAATAATAACATCGGATGATGCTTGACACAAACCATTTCGATTTTTTCGCTGTAAAAGTTTATCAGAACGATATGCGTATGATTCTTTTTGTGCTTTGCTTAAAATGAGCAATTGTTTACAAAAGAAGCAATCTATTTTTTTTAACAGTCTTGGCAATATAACCAGATATGTACGTAATAACTTCATCAGCATATTCAGTTAAGCACCGATTGTTTTGTTTAAAATAATCATGATCCATAAAAATAACATTTACAATATCTTCTTTAAAATCAATATTTGCTTTTTGTTGTATGTTATGTTCAATAATTTTTTGTTCATTTCTGATAAACTCATTAGGTACTCTAAGTAGTACAGTGTTGTCTTGCGGAGTACAGTTTGCACTTAAAGGAACAGACTCATTTGCTAAATGTAGTATTTTTCTATAAGATGCTTTGAACTGTTTAGCACTTGGATTATTATTCCAACCGTTCATTCTTCTAATCAAAGAAAAAAAAGTTTCAAGATGGTCTTGGGAAAACTTATATGTAAGCCAAAACTGTATTGTATTTTTATTAAATAGCTGTTCTGCTAAAGCAATACTATTTTGTAAATCAATAATTAATCCAATAAAGCCTGTTTTTCTAATACTAAACAAATGAGTTTATTTATACTTGGTAATCAGAGCAAATTATATATGTTTTTTTTTATTTTCGTGTTTATTTTACCTTCTTCGACTGATGTTATTATGTGTTACTGTATTCTCGACAACTATTGGTTTAGCCAAAATAAGATTGTCATGTTGAATTGTTGAATTGTCATGATTGTCGATTGTTGATTGTTGAACATCTATTGCTGATTGATGTTGGATATACATTGTTGATTCATATTCAATATCTATTAATGATTCATTTTGATTGTCTGTTTCGTGCCCCTTGCGTTCTCCCTCGCTTGCACGTAGTATGACGAAAGAGAGCGCTATGCTTTGTGCGAGCGAGAAAGAACGCAAGGGGCACGAAACAGAGTATGTCCTTTTCTACGTGTATCTTTACTCCCACTCCTTAAATAAAGAGACAAACATAGGCCTCTTTAAAGGCCGTATTACACTACGGGTTGCGGGCTCGATTACGGTTGGGGTTACGGTTGATAATTGCGGATTGACCAATCAACCGGCAAGCTGCTTTGCTTTGATTGGTCAATACGTAATCGTCAAACATAATCCTAACCGCAACTGAGCCCGCAACCCGTAGTGTAATACGGCCTTAATAGCGTTTTTGAAAGAACAGATTAAAGGCCCTCATATACAAATTGACATAGTTGCTGTGACGTCCCGTCTTTTTTCAAAACCATATTTTAAATAATAATTAAATACCGCATCTATTTCTGCATTATGCCTATGGAATATAGAACAATTATTTAACCATTTGCTCTTATTTCCGTTATTAATCAATTTCATTGATGCTTATTGTTCTAGTGCCATATGGTTATTTAACTTAGAAATTAACTATATTTTAGTTCTTTTAATAGTACTAATCGATTGCACAAAGAATTTAAGATTCCTTGGACCGACCAATCAGAAGGCTTTATTTAGAACTAGGCAGCTGCGCAGTAGTAACTTTCTAGAACTGACCGGCGGTTACTTTAAGAACAGGCTCGCGAGCGAACTTTAACCATAGACATAGTATATCTAGACCGAGTATTAAGGAGTGAGGATCGTCAAATATTAGACAGAGATAGCATGCTTTGTATCATCATTCTATCTTCATCTTTTCCATCCCTTCTACTTTTCTCTTTCCCAGTCAGACAAAGACAGATCGGTGATCGTACAGCAGCTGTCTCTTTCTATTTTTTGACGCGTTCTGAATATGGGAGATGTAGAGACGCGCAGTCTATATATTATACGTCTATGACTTTAACATAATCAGCGATACTGGACTTCCGCTTGTTCTCTCGGTGAGTGAACATCGTTTCTAAGCTCTGAGTTCTTTGGTATGAGCATCATCGAATTTTTTCGCGAGTTATATACTTGACTCTGTACATCATTCGTTCTGAGTGCCTTCCCAGCAAACACAGAATATAACTGCTATATAACATGGGAATAACATGTAATGTAACAGTTGTTATGCCTAATTTATATTGGGATTATATAACTGTCTCTTATTTATGCAATATAACACAGAATATAACTGCTATGTAACATGAAAGTAACACGTAATGTAACATTTGTTATACCTAATTTATATTGGGATTATATAACTGTCTTTTATTTATGCAATATAACACCAGAATATAACTGCTATGTAACATGAAAGTAACACGTAATGTAACATTTGTTATACCTAATTTATATTGGGATTATATAACTGTCTTTTATTTATGCAATATAACATCAGAAAATAACTGCTATGTAACATGGGAGTATGTAATGTAACTGCCCAAGTAACAGAGTAACGTCAAAAGACGAAGACATTTTCGGGTCTCATGAGACCTAAAACTTAGGATATTTAGTTGGTCATTTTGTGACCAAAATTTACTGTCATTGTGACATCAGTTTGCTACTTGGGTGGATTATTACATGACTGTAACAATCATATAACATTTTAGTAACATGTTATATTCATGTTATATAACTGCAATTTTGTATGAGTGGGAAATTACAACTAACGTGAATGTTACATGTAACAAATACGTTATATTACTTGTTATATTCCGTTTCATTATGGCAATGTTACAGTTATGTATTTGTGTTTGCTGGGTTGTTACTAGCTGCTGTCTAAAAGTGACATTGAGTGCTGTGTTATCGGTTCTTTGCTCCAATTTGCTCCATCTTTTTGCCGCCACGTAAGTGTGGTGTCGGCCATACTATCCTTCCAGGACATATACTGCGCACCAGACCCATACACGCATTTAACACAACACGTGAAAATTATTCATCTCCAACTATGGATCTTGCTATCGACGACGTTTCAGAAAAGGCTACCCGGGACCCGCCTTTACCTAGTGAGGAATTTAGCAATGACGACGTTGCTGACAGGGTTCGAGATATCATCTATCAAAATCGTAAAAGGAATCAGTCCTTTTTATTGAGAAGTCCACTTCCTCCTAAAAGATCAGCATTGGATATACACGAAAAAGAAGATACTTGACTAACCAACAATTAAACAAATATGGCTTAAACATTAATCCTCCATTTATTGTTCACATAGAAAAAATCATATGTAAATCTCCTTTTCCCACTTCCACTCAGGTACAGGATTCTGAGGTCAAAGAAAATAACAAAAATGTAAACACAGACGTCGATAACCTTGCCCATGCCTCTTCTAATTCTAGCCGAGGATCGAACCTTGACTCTTACGGCATCATTGCGTTTGGTAAACGTATAACTAAATATATTGATAACTTCTTATCTGCTTTTGACCTGAAAACGATAGGAAAAAACAAGTTCTCTGTTACTTTTATTGACGACAATTCTGCTAATAAATTCTGTGATATCTTTAACAAGAAATCTAATAATATTTTTCCTAGAGAAAAATGGATTGCATACGTGCCTAACCATAAAGTCATTAGGCAGTTTATTATTCGGGGAGTCGATGACGACGATTCTCCGGATGAGTTAATCAAGAATGTCCGTCCTCCTCCTGATTGGAATATTTTATGGCAACCACCCTTCGATGCTTCTAAATTAAAGAAACCCCTCCGTAGTCAAAATAAAGATAACACCTATACTACAAAATATATAGACTCCGATTCTTACATAATTCGTTTCAGAATAACTACTGTACCCCCTTCGGTTATATATATGGGGAAAAGACTCCACCTGGTTCCTTTTATCGAAAAGGTTAGAAGGTGCCAAAAATGTCAAAAGTTCGGTCATGTGGCTAGGATATGCAGAGCTTCGGATAGGAACGCAGTCTGTCAGCGCTGTGGTAAGCTTGTCTCTTCTCACAGTTGCAATAACAACATTAATGAAGCATGCACGGCTGAAAAGCCGTCTTGTATTAACTGCGTGAGACACAGATTGCCGGACTCTGCCGCAGAGCATGAAGCTTCTTCCAACTCCTGTCCTATATTCCAAAAGCAAAGAAAACTCAAAAAAATTATGGCATACCACAATGTTTCATACTCAGAAGCCTCCTCAATGCTTGAAAGCACTAATTACCAATAACAATTTTCAGAATCACACACCTCCCTATATCCCCCATATAGGGTCCCTCTTCCCACCTTGGGAGAATATATTCCCTATGCCCTCCCAAATGCTCCCAAAGTCATACGCAGAGGCTGTTGTCAGGAATAGGAACTTGAACTTTTCTAATCCTACCCCAACGGTAAAGGAAAAAGGTTTCGCTATAAGCGAACCTCAACATACCACTAACAATCAATTTAAGACTATGCTCCCCCCAAAAAAAATTGAGGTTAGATCTATACAGAAAGATTACAATCCCCCTCAAGTCAAATCTAATATAGCTCCTGTTGCTAGTTCTTCTAATACATTCTCTGACTTTTCTATTATTGCTAACCCCAATAATGATATACATGGTAAACGTAACCCACTCCCATCTAATTCGGAAATTTTAAACAATTGGATTCAAACATGTCAAAGTAAATTCTCTTCAATCAAACCCATTCACACCGATATTTTATCGCAGATGGGAAACCTCCTCCTATTCCCAGGAAAC